ACAGCATTCTAACAGAACACATGTGAACCTAATATACGCTCACCGCATTAAATAGGAGTTATAATAGTTCACATAGCCCTATTTCATTTCCACCATTTTGTTCTACGTAACCTAAAATATTTACCAAATAAATCTACAAGATTAATGCAGATTTATCACAAAATACGCAGATAGAGCGAATGAGTTTTGGTTTCATGTTAAAATTAATTACCGTAGTATAATTATAATGCCAATAAAATATCAAAAACTGAAAATGTAAATTTTCCTCTCAGCCAGTTTTTAATATTTCAAAATGAATAAAGCGTTTTTACAGAGGCGCGTGAAAATTTTAGTTGTCAATATGTATACATTTCACGACAAAGTTGCATTCCCATGGCATTAACATGATATAGTATATAAAACAGGTACTTTTACCGCGTGTTATATTATAATAATAATCCGCCGGAGTTAGTTTGCCCCGAATCCGTGCACTCCGTACAATTGTCAAAGTAATATATTATTGTGGAAATAATTTAGGACACAAGTGAATTTAAGGTAGCTTACTGGAGTACTTTTGTCCGATTTTAACTGTGAAGGCTGTGTATTTAGCCACTTATTACTCTTTATTACACTCATGTACGTTGTATGGTTCACACTGAGTTCCATATAGTGCCATAAGTCAGCCTTAAGTCCGATGTTACTACTTAAACTGCTATTATAATGCTATTATACTTCTAATGTACAGCCATAGTGAACTTAAGGCTGTCTAATTTGTGCCCAAACTGGTTCAATAAAAGCATTATAGCAAGCTATACAGCTCATATACAGCTGACATATACAGCTTCTAAAGTACATGTGAACGACTAGACATCTTATATAGAACCACGAATGCTACTTGCTACTAATACTTACTTAATGCTACTGTTATAACAGTTTCATAAATGATCACCTTGTTTGAAAAACTCATAAGTAGTAGGCCACCGGGTCGACATCGTCACTCAGAATTAATACAACTATTATAGATTTTCTCTAATTTACTTTTACAATTAGGTCACTGCTAAAGAGATACACCCAACGAGCAGTAATAGTTGCTATGTGTAAGTCCGCTAGCTGGATCCCTGACACAATGTAAATAGCGGTATTTATTGTTCTAAAGAAAGTTTTTTTGGCAAACTTGCCTTTGGAATTGTAACACAATGCAGATTATACAATTTGCATGTTACGCTTGTGGGAGGCCTTCTGAGAATCTTGACTTGCACTAATTACGAAATGAGAACCATGTGCCATCTTCAAACATGTTGACATTTCAGAAACGAGCAAAGCAAACAATTTAATGACAAAATAAGTCTCCAATATTATACGTTGACAAGACCTTAGTGACAATAATCATTCTATCTCTCTTAATTTGGGAACTGAAGCACCATATTTTAATAACGACTTGGTCATATCAAATAAGACTCGTCAAAGAAGTTGTTACCTTATCCCAATATGTCTAAAGCTTATTCTGTTGTGAGTGTATCGTGAGGTGTGGTGGTCTACTACTATTAAGATCTGTAGTTGTACAATGATAGAGACCACCGGCAGTACCGGCACTTTGTCCCCGACGACAAAAGTACAAAGAAAGTAGTTTTAAATAATCCTATGATGCAAGATGTTTCAACTGTCGCTTGGTACAGAAACTCTTTTCAGATTGTTCAACCGAAAGATTTAGCTCTCCTTACAATACGTTACAACGCAATGTCCTTTGTCACGACTGGGTAGATTACTTTTCATTTTTTAATGTTGTATTCTTTTCAAAATTTGGAACATAGTCGTCCAGGGAAGGAGGCTGTCAAATAACTCCTTGCTCAGCTGATAACATGACAGCTATGTTTCAGATACGTTAGTTAGGCTCATCAACGTATTTAATACGAAGTTTCCAAATCTTCCGTTTGATGTTAATATTGCTTTTTTTTATTGAATAGCGCGGTGCTGACAGATTAGTGTTTTACTTTATAAGCAGACTACAGCAATGGTAATCGAAATTATTATTGCTAATAAATAAAGTTCATTAACTGCGTTGAATAATATACGGGTACCTATGCACACATTGTGCAGCATCACATACACGTAGATATATAGGATATTACGCTAACTGTCAACTATAGCGGACTATCGACATCTGCATCACAGTGCAGCTGCGCCTGACCTCATGCTAAACCCAACCCTATTACTCAGCGCCCAACTAGTATATTTGCATGATTCGTCGGAGTACAATAATATTTGTCGCGCGCCTGTCATTTGGAACCCTTCCGCGTGGACACGGATTAAGTCCCTGGGATCGGTACGGTTCGCAGAAACAAAGACAAGTCGGGAAAGATAACTGTACTTTTGTTTCTGAGTGTTTGTGTGCTATTGTTGTATTACCCTTTTGGCCTTTGGAAAATACACCATAAGCTCTTCGTCGTAATGATGATCTTCAGTTAGCAAGTGGGTTACAATAAACAGTAAGTAATACATTCTTAGCTCCACTAAATCCTACATCCTTGTTCTGCTAACCACACTCGTCCCATGAGAAGTGCGAAGGGTTGCAATGAGTCAGCAGCTCCCGCGCTGACCGCAGCATCGGCCGGTTCCTAACGCCGGCCGCTCCATTCACACTTGCGTGCATTGTACCATTGTCATGTACCTACTTGCGTGACTTGATGTTTCTATTAATACAACTCGCTGATTCTATCGCTTTCGACTTATTACCTGAAATTACTATTAACTGAAATTGTATTACATACTAAGTCGACAATATCTGGAGGATCAATGTGTTTATGACAAAGAGTGGCTGTTCAATGGTCTCTATAGCATACACAGTGACTACTAGTTGATGAATTTTATTGAAATGATGATAAGCAAGCGAGTCTTTGATTATGTGGTGCCTTATCTTTACTTAGTTATAATGATGTACATAATGAATATTCCATTTATTATTCAAATATTTGTCGTGCCCTGGAACAAAATTTTTTTGCCGAGCGAGCTTACATTTGTGTCGCACACAATAAGAGAATGTCTTTCTCCGTCCAGAATGTTGCACATTTTGCTGATTGTTATCACTGCAGCAGTTATTAATGTTAACCTTACACAAATATGATTTACAGCGTTTCCCAGAACGTGAGGCTGGTTGCTAACTCTTGCCCATTGTATGCTGTCCCATTGTCACGCTGTGTATAAGAAACCGTTTTAAGTCTGTGTCCGTCATCTGTGGACAATGCCCACTATTAGCGGATTATAATCCGCAAAAAGAGCAGGTAATGTCGTATGGCCGGGATGTTGCCCAAGTGATGGGATGTTGTAACTGCGGCACAGAAACTGGGAGATTGCAAGTTATATAAATGCATGTTTGTTACAATTTTATCATATTTGCAGTGTAATACTTTTACATGCTCCACATTTAAATAATTTTTAATGACAATAATGGAAATGCGGGATTGCATGGCATGATTCAAACATTATGAATCCTCGCTCGTCGCTGCCGCCTGTGCCTTGTGTCGCGATATTTGCTTGCATTAGCAGATGCAAGGTTGTCAATGCTCGTCATCGTCCCACGGGATCTGTCGATTATCCCAAACAATAACAGTCAGATGCTGACCAATACGTGACCAGTGTTCAGGCAGTCAGTTGCTCGTTGCGTTTGTTATCCTAAGCTCTGCACAAATACTACCAATTTCTGAACCTTCAGCTTCCCATAAAGAATACGATACATGCAATAATATGCACACATAACATTTATGACTGTACCCCTTCAGTGATTTAAATTAAGAATTCTCACTTTGCCTTTGTAATATTGATAGAAGAAACATACTTTCGGTCTTTATAAAAATTATAATTGTGGAACAGGTATTGCTTCGTTGCATATATTGCTGACTCTGACAAACAAGGTACCGTTTGCTTCTCCTGCATTCACATGTGGCTCCAAACTCTTCCTGTACAAAGGCTTACAACTGGCCAGCTACATTGACATGTCAATCACATCCCACCGCACCACGCACATCATACTGATGGGAATCGAATCGTAACCCTCCACAATGCCCACAATTGACACAATGTGTTACGGAAACGCCTTGAATACACAAATAACTCTTTTATTGTAGCCTTTACAGTTAATCCTACTGCGAAGGTACTTCTTTTAATCTTTTACTAATTTTGTTGGACACAAATTCGTGAAGTAGTGATTTCTTGTACTTACCATAGATTCGTTGCTCTTAACACCTGATTTTTATTGTGAATATTGTTGGCGACCAGATGTTGAGTTCGTAATAAGTGCGGAGATAAGTTATGCCAATCAGATGAATTGAATGGTTTCATTATATTAGGCATTTAGTTGCTTAAATAGCACGTGTCTTAAAATGTGTTCTGTTGGGGTTGAAATATTTGCCTGAAGTCTCTACCAATCTAGGGCAGACAGAAGTCGTTCGTTTGTGTTACAAGTGAGATGCTTTAACTAAATAGGAATATTATATTTGTATCATTAATTAAATCAAAGTTAGGTATTTATCGTAATATAAACAAGAACGGACCAAGACTCGACCCCTGCGGCACACCATGTTTTGTGCAGAGCAGTTACCTTGTGCAGCAGCCATGTGCAACATACTCTGCAAGCATTGACAGGCGTACGATATACTGGCAATATCCACTTGTGTTTATATAATTATTTAGGTAGGCACTGCTACGTAGGTCATAAAATCAAAGAAAATGTAATTTTATATAAATAAAAAAATATATTTAATCAGTCTTGTTTGTGTGACATAAAACATATTTTACAAACAATAAATTTAGGCTTTTTACTTCATCTATAACAATTTTTTAAACCTATGTATCATACAAAAAATATAAGTTTCACAATAAACAAAATTGCACGTCATTACAGTCTAAAGATAACCAGAACACAAAGTCTTTAAATCTATTTAATAGATTAACTGAGATCTAACTTAGGGCTACATATACAATACAACATTGCACATTTTTAAGTCAGTAGGTATGCGCACTAGGAACTACAGCAGAGTGGAGCGTTGGCAGCGGGTGCAGGTCTGGGAGCCAAGCGCCGCCTTGAGCGTCGCCAGCTGCCGCTTGAGGTAGGTCACCTTCAGCGAGAGGTGAATCTCGCGCAGCTTGCGTCGGTCCCGGCTCTGCTTCGCCGCCGCGTTGTTTCTCTCCCGCGTGCGTCGGTAGGCGTCGTCCTCGGCCGCGGAGCGTACGGTACGACGCATGCGCGGATTACTTGCAAGTATTGTACCGCCATTTCTCAATGCCATAGCGTCCATGGCAGTCTTCTCAAAAATTTGAAAGTCTTCATCGTCCGATATGTCTCCATCTTCCAGGTTGGCAGTCGAGGACTCTCGTAGAGAAACGGCGGCGCACGGGACAGGTGACGGTGATGGCGCACTCGCGGATTGGTAGCCTGAGCTACCTCCTGGTGACATCCAGCCTGGTCCGTAGTGCTGCGGAGGCACCGGCAGGTACTCCGGGTATGCCAGGTTCGACGGGCATGCCGGGTATGCTAACGAAACTTCATCTGATTGCGACACCTGCGTCACAGTGAGGTTTAGCGGGACGTCCGTGGCGACGTCATCTAAAGTGTAAGGCCGCCAAATCGACATTATTGCGTCTGAAAGGTTTCTCGAGTAACTGAGGAATGATGGGCCGGGGGTGTGGCCTGCTCTTATATAGTGAGAGGGCGGGGTTCGATGGTGGGGAGCGATGCAGACCTTTATACAATACAACTAAGATATTCTAAATCTGCAAAGGAATGAATCTATTATAATTTGACTACGACGTTTATATATTTGCTTGTTAATAATTTTATTTGTCGCTACACGCTTTTATGTCTGCACAAATATCTTGTAAATACAAAATACTTTGTAAATACCGCTTCATAGAGACTAATTGAATTACTGAGGTACCAATGTGGTAACAGATACACCTAAGTACATCACTAATGATACTTATACTTAATAAATAAATTGTATATGCAATAATTAATGAATAAATTATAAAGTGTATATCATAGGTATATTAACTTGCCGACTTTAAAAAACGTTGTAGAACGCAAATAAACGAATTGAACTGAATTGAAATGAATAAAGTTTAAAAATAAGGGTACAACCAGTTCTTGATCAAGAATGTGTTTCTACTTTGATTATTTGTGAAAATGACAATGTCTACATTCCCGCTTATTACATTACATCCTCTTTCCTAATTCAATACATGAATAGAAGCAGTACAAGAACAATGGTTATATCGGTCGTGCCGACTCTAACACATGTTCAATGGACATGACATGGTACTTCGTCCAGTCAACACGTGTTATAATTTATAAACTACTCCGCCACTACTACTGGCAGCCATACTGGCATACAGCGTCCACAAAGCTCGCGCCGCCCCGCGCCCGCAGGTTGCTGCTAAACATGCCCGGCACAGATACGGGAGCATTGTCTTACTATATTACGTGTTATCTAAAGCAGGCTGGCATTTGTTTGTCTTTGCAATTGTGTTTTTGTTTATTGCAGTGGCTTACAGTTGCAGAAGCAATAAAGTACACAATAGCACGCAGTCACCACCGTCCTGGCGGCACATTAGCATGGCTTTTGTTTCGTTAATATTGTCTACGTGGAGATGGCACTCAGTCAGTTGGTCAGTAATTATATTTTATTGTTACTCAGCTATAATAGTTACGTCTAACAAACAAGTAAGTGTTGCAATGAGTTCTAGTAAGCGTCTGTCTGTCTGTGTAGAGAACACAAGCTCATGTTGTTAAGTTGCTTCTCAAGTCTTACTACTAAGTGTGGGAGAGCTACGCTCAGCACGAGTGGACCGAGTACACCGGAGTGATATCATAGCCTTACAGTAAACTGAAGTACTAAAGAATTTGTCGATGACAACAACATTGTTAGACAGATAGAATAGTGCATAATTGTAAGTAGATTTCGAGACTAATATAGGTACATACGTTCACTGATTCAACATAAGACATGTTTTGTACCTACTACATGCAAAAAAAAGGATCTTACTTTCTTAAATTTTCATTCTAAATTGGTTATTAAAGAATCAACGTTGCGAACTAATAATACCGGCCGGACAGTTACTCCAGCTTTATACTCTCAGACAAATTGTGTAATGAAAGCGACAGATCCTATTCACCGGACCACCGTGACATCATAATCGCAGTAAAGAGTTACATACACAATGCTACTGCCGGACGACAGTTGCGACATTAGTGTCGCCCGGCCGGCTCCAATGCACCGTGTGTCGTAGATATGCGCATGAGTGGCGTGCTGAGATGCCGCGGAAATGGTTTTAATGTATATTGTTATTGGTACCTATAACAGCTCGCACTGTCCGTCCCTCGCTAATTGAAAATGTTGACCATTTGTTCAGTTTGCAAGTGAGCTACGAGAAATATCTTCACTGTAAGTTCCCGTGACGAAGTTTTGGGAGTTGACTATGTTGTAGGTACAATGGATTCAAATGCGGTTTGTAAGCTGCTTCACATAATGTTAATCTATAAATTAATAGGACTGGATTAATGTAATCAAAGGAAGTCGAAAACTCCAAACACGTTATTACCATGATTCTATCATGAATGGCTAATGACGTTTAATGTATTTACTTGTTGATGATTTTGTTTGCCGCTCCACGTTTTGTTCTCTGCGCAAATGTCTTGAACTTTGTGCCAATTACCGCTAACTGGGAATAATCTTACATCAAGCGTAAACAGCTATTGTGCGGATACCTACACATTAGGTAATGTAAATCTCATCATTAGTAATTGATCGTCTTAACGTCGTGATCGTCGAAGGGTTAAATAAATACCAATTGTTACAATAACAGTAGCTGCTTGTGGTAAGCTATGAATGCAGTCGCTCAGTCAACAGTCCCAGCAGTAGTCCCGGAGCTGTAAGTTCATCAGTCTGTAGCACAATGCTGGGCGCGGTGAATGGGCTGTCTGCCCACGTCGCCCACCGCTGGACAACATGATCGATCGATTGCATCGGTAGCTATGCAGCGGCAGTTGTGCAGTTGCGATATAATTATTTTTGTTTCCGGTCTCCTGTACCCAGCTACACCTTCATTACACATTAATGACAGAGACAAAATTACATCGACCTACCAATACTGCTCACTGTCAGGTTGAAGGATTATCGATGTGTATATAAAATATGCTCACCCACCTTCATATGCACTTATTTATCTATAATGGACATTGTGTCTTTTGTTTGTCAATAAACAATGTGTATCACACATCACACAACTATTGCCAGTCTGTAACTTATCGAAGGGTTCTGGTTTTACCAACCTTGAAATGTAGGCATTATCTATCTATAGTCTCAGAAAAACATATTAAGAAGACAATTAACGAAACTTATAAAGGAGCTTATAGCCATAAATATTTGTAAAGGATTAACTCAAGGAGTAAAACAATGGCGCAGTGCACAGCGCACTGAGCGCGGAGACAATGTGACATTACAAAAAAGGAATTATTGCTTTTGTATTGTGTAATGTGTTCTGGTCACGATGATATTAGATATTATCCAACTGTACTGTGATTGAGCCTGGGTAAGACCACCACTCGAATTATTATTTATGCTGCAGGATTTTCAAATTGTTGTCACCATCTCGGGTGTGCAACCCTACACAAGTAGTTAGATAGATTATTTGTTATTTTTATACCTTTGCCAATGACGAATTAATTTTTTCGTGGTATGTAAATATATAATATCAATTGCGTAAATAAGCAAAGCCTCACCGCTACAAAAAGTGGGCGCCTGCCTACAGACAGCAATAAACCTCGTAACATTGGACCAATCCCGCGCCTCACGTCCCGCGCATTGTGCAAGCCGCCATGACACCGCCCGGTCCGCGCTCCGTTCTTATATACCTACCTATGTACTTAGTTACCTCGCTACATTGCTATCTTTATTATGGCTACGGAGCTAGGAACATTGTTCTGCATCGTATTATCAGACTTTGAGATATTGTTCTTTACATTGTATCGCAGATTGTATTATTCCGGAGCAGTCACGTTGCATGGGGTGATGTGGCCGGGGTGCTGCAGTAACTGAGTGAGGGTGCTCCCCTAACCAGCGCAATACATAAACCCTTGCGTGTGCCCGCGGTATGTCGCGCCCAGTCCTGAGTATTGATCCACTGCTTCATGCAACACTTTAAGCGATTCATTAATATTTGTTCCTCTAGGTACCTATGTAGTTAAATTACCTAGGTCCGTGATATAAATGTTGCACATAATGTGCCTACCACTTTAAAGTAGATATTGCACCGGGTAATTGAAATTTATTTAAATTTTTTATGCTTTATCGAGCTGTAAAGCAAAATACATAATAAAAATAGTGTTATCGCAGTCAACCTTGAAGCACCCATCTTAATAATTGTCATTTGATACTTTCGTAATAAAACGTTTTGAAACTTATTTCCATAAAAATGTTTTTTTCAAATATATATTGTGCATATACCTACAGCGTATCCGCGTGTATAGTACTAGTGGGCGCGGCAAGCGCACGCGCAGCGTGTCAACACAAGCTCGGTACCGACCAATGAGCGGAGACATGTATTGTGCAATATACCTACGTATGTATGTGTGTGTGAAACGCAAACTGTTGCCATATTGTGTAGGTGTGAGTAGATATATGGATATTGTATGGACAACTACATATAGCTATTTATTTACCTCCTTGTTTTATGTTTCTAAGAAGAATAAAATTAATTATTAGCTTTTTCAAGCAAATTATACTTATTCGTAAAAAGATTACACCTTTCTTCTTTGTTTGTCTAGCTTTGATCTAGTCTAGACTTGTCTAGACCCACGGGATCATAGTGTTCCGGATCTTTGCAAGGCGGACAACGAGACAATCAACTACAGTCAGACATTTAAATTAGTGAAGTATAGATTATTACTTTACCGATACTGGAGGTTACAATAAAAACAAATACAGTGTGTAGGTATTAAAAATAATTTAATATATTTTTTGATTTCATACAGTTCATTGATACTTAGCCATTGAGAAAAATAAATATGTCATAGGGAAAAAGCCTTAAAACTAAATAATCTAAGTATATTTATATCATTACATAAAGATTATTATGATTAAAACACAATACTCTTTAAAACAATCACATTAACCAACTAAACATACCTTGTATCACTTGCTTTGGTTTAGATTAGGATTTATTTTACTAATGTTGTCGACTTATATACCACATATCGCGCCTTGTTGCTCCAAAATGTAAACTAGTTTAAATATTGCACCCACTAGATCACTCCTAAAGTCACAGTCAGCAGCAGCGGCTCTGCCGGCAGCGGTTGCACAGTCCAGCTGCCAGCCTGGCGCGCAGCTCCGCTACCTTCTTCTGTAGAAAGGTCGTCTGCAGCGCGAGCTTCATCTCACGCAGCTTCCGTCGGTCGCGGCTCGCCTTCGCCGCGACATTGTTTCGTTCCCTTTGTTTTTTGTACGTGTCGTCAGCCGAGTGGGTGCAAAGTCAAAGTCAAAAGTCAAAATTATTTATTTCAATTAGACCCATACAGGCACTTTTGAACGTCAACACAACTTTAAAGATACAAAGTGTCAGTCTGTCGGTCAGTCCT